AGGGTAGTTCCCAAGCGACGTGTTTGTGCGGGCTCACGCGAAAGGATGGATGGACGAGCGTGGCACTATAGACTGGATGAACACCGTTTGGGGAAAGCGAAGCGGTGCCCTCTTAAAGAAACCATCTATGCTGGTTTGGGATTTGTTTAGGGCACACCGAACTGAGAACGTAGAGCAACGATGCCATGCAATGAAGTCGTTCGTGGCTTTAATTCTTGGTGGACTTCCATCAACCTTGCCACCACTCGATGTCTGTTTCAATAAGCCCTTTAAAGATAGGCTTCGGGCCCGGTGGATTGAATGGATGGCGTCATCTGATTTAGCGTTGGAGAATGGTGCCAACGTGAAAACTTTTGACCTCGTTACAATTGCATAGTGGGTGAAAAAACCATGACTGGATATTCCATCAGAAATTATCATGCGAGCATTTGAAACGTGCTGCATTAATGATACTACGGATGGAAGTGAGGACGATACCATTTTTGGGGAATACGACAATGACGAGAGCAGTGAAGTTGAAGATGACGATATTCATCCTGACGTCCCAATGACAGAGGAACAGTACCAGGAACTGTTCAGAGATTGTAAGTAAATACATAAAAAATGAACGGATTATTCCTCGATGTTGCGGGACACGGTCCAACTGAATGGCCTGATCAATCTGTACAACAATATGGCATAAGATGGTTAATTGTGCTTGTTTTGTATAACGAATCCCAACTGAGTTTTGAAGTGATTGGCAGTCAGAAGGCAGCAGAGTGCTTAAGAAAATGAGGACAAGAACAACAAGAATACGGTCAATCATGGAACTGTCCCAAGGGGACTTGCTTTCATGCGGGGTATTCCCTCGATGGGTTTCTCCCTCACTTCCATGCTACAACTGACTGTGTGCTGGTGTGGCAGAATAGCATGCGAGGATTGGAGTAATTTTGTTAACATTGTGTTACGTTTGGATATGTGAGCCTATAAAATGTACCAGTACGTGCTGTTCTGTTATGACTTTTTCCAGTGTTCGATTCTGTACATTCATATCTTTCTATTACTGCCATCCGTCGAGAAAGTCAAATGTGCAATATACCGAGAATTTTCGACACAAACATAATGTGTCTACCTATAGGCACTTCAATACCCGCTTAGGTTACCGTCTGTCACTAGCGAGTGATGCTAAGGCATGGTAGGGGTATAGGTGAGTAGTGAATTTCTGGGTGGATTTTGCATGTGATTTTTCATAGTGCGCATAACCTTTGCATAATTGGACCCGCAGCCCCCAACTACAGAAATGGAAATTGCCCAAATTTCCTCGGCTTATGCACGGTAATATGAGGTACATGTCAGTCATAATTCAAAACAGAGGAATTAAAATAAAACCTAACAAGGTGTTCCGTGCTACTGTCAGAAAGGTTATGACACTTAGCAGTCACACCATTTTTGTAGACACTAAAGCTCCGTTCAGCGTCTACCGAATTCACTGGAATGCATAGATAACGGCTGGCGATGTCTGCCAATTGTGGAGTTCTTTCATGCATCTCGTACCAAAAGGCCAGCGTGTCTTCACGTTCCTCTCCTTGAACTTCTTCCACCACTTTTCGATAGATTACTCACTCGGCTGTGAGAGCTGGGGAGTTAACCAGGCCTGGAACATCGACATACTTGTATGGATCACTGGGTAAGGTGATGAGCTGGTTAGGGTCGAGCACTCTAATAATGGCTTTCAACAACGGCCAGCTGGCCTTTGATCTCAGCAGCTTGGGATAAGCAGTTGTATGTCAGTTTGGATTTTGCTAAACGCATCAAAGATGAGTCACTCTGTCTGCAAATTTTGCATCCAGTTTTCCTCTGCGGCAGTTTTCAGCGACATGAATGGATCGGTGAGGTGATTGAAAATATTATGGCTTACCAGAGACTGTGATTCGGCAGTTTTCAGGTGACGGATGATGTCCTTCGCAACAGTCGTAATGCAAAGCTGTTGCCATCTCAAGGATTTCTGTGTTGTTTCCTTGGTTACAATATCCACCAGTTCACAAACATCAGCTGAGTCTCCAAACTCGCGCTGTACAGCTCGGAACATGACTGGGTAATGATAGGTATACTCGCTGTGATGTGCGACAGCTTCCAGCCAGGAATTCCAAAGGGAGATATCCGGTGCTGGTGGGCCAGCTAGGTTATCCACGCCCTCCTGAGTTAAATACTCCATGTAGACACGCTTCTTTCTTTCCGAAAGACGGAATTGCATTTCATTTTGCGACGAATCAATCGACTTCCGGAGAGAATTTGCAAATAGTCTCTCCAATCAAGTTGATGCAACGGGTAACACGCCTGGTTTGAACGGAATGCTCACAAACGGACTTAGTGACATCTCGGCAACAAGTGGTCACATATCTAACGCCATCAGACATGAAGGCCATTACACGATTGCAGGATGGCTCCTCCAACTGTGGCAGAACTGGTTCTCTCCATATTGACCGTGTCGATGAGCTATGCTCGGAGATTGTCCTTGTTGGACTTCAATGATGCGCAAAACAGGATGAGTAGTTCCATCACCCCGCGATCATCAGTTGTTTCGTCAGTTATAACGCTGATAGGTATCACGGAACATCACTTTCTAGATCTGATTAAATTTCCCGTAGAATTTAGCAATTTTCAAACGTAGCGTGTCAGCTGCGGCAATGCTTCCACCATTTCGTACGCGTCTAGGAAAAAATGGCTTCAACGGGCGATGTGGTCCTTCTCTAGAGTAATATTCGCAGATACTACAGCAAGTACACAGTCAGATACCACTGTGTCGCGGGTTTCCTGGGCAACATTTGCAACGGCGATGGAAAAAATGACACTAACTTGTCGCGTTTACTTCGCAAAGTTTTCCCTTACCAATTTGAACTTAGTCGAAAGGCAGCGGAAGCAGCCCATGGCATCAACAGTGCATTCAGTGCTGGAACCACTGATAATTGTACTGCACAATGTGGTTTCGAAATACTTACGAAAGGCTTGAAGATGAACAGCGTTGTGGATGGCCATTGGAAGTGAACAACAATCACTTAAGGGTCGTAGTGAAAGCGGATCTGCGTAAAACTATTCGAGTTCCTGATACATGCGACAGCTTTAAAACATTTACAGGAGATTGGAATGTTGAACAATGAACAATGAATTCATACGGGTTAAGAAGCGCTACTTTACAAGTCCCATTGGATAGTTGGTGGGGATATCAACATAACAATAATGATAATAAGGATAGTAAAATAGTTAATACTTTAAATATGAAAATAAGGACTTATCGTTTGCTTCGCTGCAGTCCTGCGATCCTCTTAGATTCACAGCATCCACAGTTAACAACAAATAATTCCATGGTAAACTCCAGGTGTAGGATGGAGACGTAAAGTAACAAAGTGTAAGTGGATGAGTGCATCGTCCAACCGTCTTTTAAATACTGTTAGTGTTGGTGCAGAGACGACCAATTCTGGGAGAGCATTCCACGGGTGACAGACACGAATGGAAAAGAAATTTCGGCGGCACTCCAGACGACTGTGTTGTTCTGCGAGTTTTAATAAGTGGCCCCTCAGGTTTGTATTGCAGCTGAGTTGCAGTAAAGGGCGGCACACGTGATGTGGGTCTCGCAGAATCCAGTATGCCATAATCAGGTCACCTCGTAGTCTGCGATAGCTTCCACTGAACAATCCTAGTCGTTGCAGCCTCTCCTGGTAGGAAAGATTGCGCATTCCAATTACGTTCTTAGATGCCCGGCGTTGTGGCTGCTCCAGTCCATTAAGGTCGTGTTTCACCCATGGATGCCAGGCTTGAATTGCGTATTCGACATGGGGGCGAACATACGCGCTGAGCATTTGTCGAAATATGGAGCAGTTTATTTGTCCAAACGCCCGCCTCAACAGCCCGACGTGTTGGTTCCCGGTCTTCATAAGTGGGAGCCGCACGAATTGGATGAAAAGCAAAGAACTCGCTACGTTGAGGCGTCGTCTGCCTTTCTTCTGCGCAATAGGAATGATCCGTTTCTCGACCGTCTTATGTAATGATGAAAAATGGATCCTTTGCGAGAATCGGCGACAAATCTCCCAATGGTTGGACTACGATAAAGCTCCGCTGCACTTCCCGAAGCCGGAATTGCACCCAAAAAGGTTATGGTGACCGGTTAGTGGCCTACGCTTGGTCTGATCCATCACAACTTTCTGAATCCAGGAGAAACCATTACAGCGGAGAAGTACTATCAACAAGTTGTCGAAATGCACAGAAAACTTTAACACAGGTGCCCGGCACTAGTCAAAATAGAGGGGGACATCATTCTCCATGAAAACGCTCGGCCGCATATCGCACAAACAACCCTGCGGAAGTTGCATGAGCTAGGCTATGAAACTTGCATCACCCACCACACTCCCTGGCATCTCATCTAGCGACTAGCACTTTTTCAAATGCTTGGATAACTTCTTCCAAGAGAAAAGCTTTAAAACCCAAGAAGATGTTGAGACCGCCTTCGACGATTTCATCGCCAACAGAACGCCGGAGTGTCATTCATCGGGGATAAATAAACTTGGTTCCCATTGGCAAAAGTGTGTCAATTCGAATGCGTCTCTTTAGAATAAAAATGTTACGTTTGAGCCAATATACGCGCATTTAAAGTTTAAGAGTAAAAACCGCAATAACTTTATTACCAACCTAATACATTCCAGCCCTCCGTTCGTTTTACTGATTGTGAATCCCCTCTAATTGTCTGTGCCCGGTCATGCCTGCGCTGCGCTATTCACTGTCCTTGTTGGTCCACTCTCCACTTTGCATTGTGTCCATCAGTCTTACTATTCTCGGTCATACTGAATGTGGTAGGGATCTTATGTGACATGGCTGTCTATTGGTAATCGAGGCGCATACTACGGCCTAGAAATGTTCAGGTAAGAAAATAAGGCAAATGTTCATGTGCGTCAAAACATCCGCGCCTGTATATACACCCTACAAATCTGATGTCTACCTCTCATTATCTGAGTATAAGACGGCGTCGTCGATATTGACTTATCGATCTGGACTCAAGTGATTTCAGGACTTACAAACGTCTCGTACAGCAGTGGTATAGCTTCACTTGGTCGAAAAGAATTCAGGTCAAGCCTAATACTCGTTCGTCCCCAGGTATAAGAAGTATGAGAAACACAGATAGGGTATGGTGACTGCCTCTAAGGAAGCGTCCACGGTTGATCAAGTTATATAAATAGTAACTACAGGTCAATAATACAACGAAAAATAGCGACTAGAAGTAGTAGTACAGGAAGTCAAGGAATTCTCGCCGCGAATGACGTTGAAAGGACAAGGGGAGTACTACGGATGAAATCGATGAAGCACAATTGACTGAGGTGTTGTACAAACCGGGGCAAAAATAGGGATGAGTGGTGACAGTTGCAAGGTAGACTAGATGGAGTACACAGAAATAAGATCTAGGGATAATAGCAGCGTTTGCCAGTCGGCGGCGGTGCGTGTGTCTGTGTGGGTGTGTGTGTGTGCGTCAGCAGGTTCATCTCACTCTATCCACACCGGCCATTATGCTCTCCGATTCGTAGAGACTGTCGTGTTTGGCCATGATTCGCATCAGGGGGCGTAGATTGAGCCACCATTCCTCCCTTGGCAAGCGGTATCTGTTAAACAGGCAAGTATGAACGGATGATAAAGCAGTGGGAGGTGAACATTAGAGCTGGATCACACACACATATAGGAACTGTCGGATAGTAACACTTCGACTGCGCTCACCCAGGTCGGTTTGGAATTCCAGCCAAAAAGAAAGGTAATTTTGATATTTTCGTCCCAGCGGTTCACAAGTTACATAGCACAGTCTCAGCGCGGAAAAGCAGCAGACACGTTTCGCCCCAGTAGGGCTCGTCAGTGGTGCGCACTCCCTCGGTCCCCTACTGGGGACCGAACGCGTCTGGTGCTTTTCCGGATTGTGGATGAGCTATGGAGCTTGTGAGCTGCTGGGACGAAAGCATTAAAATTACAACTAAAATCCTCCTCATAAGTAATCAAAAAGAAATGTGTATAGCTCACACCCACTTGAAAGCTACTTTTGATCCTCTTTACAAAGATGCTTGTGATTGAGGGCACATCGGATTGGTGAAGTTTTGTCGTTACATTTATTCAGGGCAACCTATGGGACCGAGTAAGGGTGAAGTGGAAATATCGTTTGGCCTGTAAAAAAATTCACCTTGGCTTCTTGTGTTGCCCGTCTATGGATATGGAAAATGGGAACCAGAAGAAAGCCCAAACGAAAGTTGCGCACAGTAGAATGTTCACATATATACTTGCCCATACAAAGAATACCCACGTGGAACAGTGGCCACAGCAAAAATTGGTCACACCAAAAGGAGTACGCACGGACCATTGGCCACTTAAAGTCCCCACACTCCGGTGTCGTGGCTAATTCATCCCAACTGACGAGACTTTTATTTGTGGCAAAACCAAGATCTCGGTTTTGACTTTTGCCTCCAATAGCTGCGGAAGCATATTCCGTAGCTACAGATTATCACAGTAACACTAAGGCTGTCAAGTAGTTTGACCTCTCGGCACATACTGCACTGAGCTACGTGCCAAAGATAACCAGATTCATTTAGAATACTCAACAGACGTTGCTTACCTACTGCAGTTTGCAGCAGCGGCTAAGACTCACTTAGGGTAGACAAACCGAGTTCGCGGTTAGCCCTATCTTGCCTTAAGGTTGGTGACCGCAAAGGGCATCCACACTCACGCATGACGCGCGTGCTCCTGCGTCATTTGGATTATTCCTCTCTCCATCTTCTCGCAGCTTAGTCACCGTACGCTTATTCGAACTGGATTTACTAGCCATGTAGTGATCAATTATTATTATTAGTAGTATTATTATTATTATTATTATCCACCACAATTAAAGTTCTTACCATGAATAACCGTTTTAACTGTCATCTGTGATTAAGCACATGCGAATAACTCAATCATAATGAGTCGATTGCCCTTCTGTGTGACACCATTCGATAGGGAATTCTCGAGGCAGTCCGAAAAGCCTAAGCTTATTCCAATCCGGTGTTTCTCAACGCAGATGCGAAAGAAGTTGTGACGTCTTCAGCTGTGTTCAGCGTTGTGTCTAGATGCAGTTACTAGGCCCTAAACCAGCTGGGACTAAGATCGATCGATCAACCGACCAACAGTGAAACGTGTGTTTACAAGGAAGCAATGGCGACAGCGAGCGCGCCACAAGCGCTGACTCATGCCTATCGTTGATGCAGAAAGCGGCACTAACTGATCATTCGAAAAACGTGTGACCTAAAGTCTCCACGCCCTCTGGGAACATATCTCAGGTTAAGAGCAAGTGTGAATTATGTGTTAAAATGGTGAAGAGTGGGCTAGTGTGCAGCAGTTGCTTGAAAACCTATCACATTAAATGCCTTGGGATGGGGACGATAAAAACGACAGTCGTTTTGGTTCTGCCAAGTAGGCACTGCTATCCCAGTTGTTAGCTATCTAACGGTGCTACTGAAGAAGTGTGAAAGACTAACAGAAACAGTCGAACAAACGGTGAGCGTCAGCGTTATACCAATGGGAGGAAGCAGACCTGCAATTGTATGTGAAAAAACAACCCAAATTCCCCATTCAGGCTGAAGAAGAGAGCCAGGTGTGACAACATTAACCCGAGTTCTCAGTCTCCACCAGTACCAACACCCTTTCTCTCCCCCCAATAAGTAAAAACACTGCCTGCAGCATGCCCGCTTCAACTTTTCTACAGTGTTACACCAAGTAGTATATTCGCTATATAGGAGACCCTAAGCTGCAGTCACCTAGCCATAGTGAGGAACCAGGTAATATACGCATCGGTCGCCTCCAAGCAAACACCGGAAAGAGCACCGGTAACTTTGGTGGCCGGACTAGAGAAAACTATAGTGTCGCAGCACAGATGGCCTCCATCAATGCCGTCCACAAATTCACCGAAAGCATGGGAAACTAAGGCTCTAAAACCAGTAGTCACCATGCGCAACCATGGTGCCCTAAATCTTGTGTGCACCAATGCCCCCGAATCCAAATCCAACACAATTATGGGTAGGCTGACGGAAGGTTGAAATCAATGGAGTTCCATCTGTATGACGATCGGTGTCCATGCTGATCCCACGACATTAAGACGCATCTCGCATCACCCATACGCGCTGCACTACGATAAAGCCCGGTTACTTCGGATAACACTAAACTTGGTGGATGAGACAGAGGCCGTTCTGCTGTCTGCAAATCGACTCCGCAACGCGTCCAGTGGAGTGCGCATACTAACTGAAATCCCGTGGAAAGAACGTTCAGCGGATCTCACTAACGGAGAGATGAACAGAAATAGTCAAGAAAATGTCATCGCTCACGGTGTCTCTAAAATTACAGATTCCTCTACCAACGATGCTAAGGTACCCGACCAGGAGCAATGGCACTACATGCGTGAGGCTCTTTCTCTCGAAAATGTAGTCGCCACTTCGGTGACAAGGATCCCTGTATCACCGAACTACAAGGGGTGCGGTCCCAAGCTGTTGAAATTGGTGTTACAATTAGAACTAACAGCATAAAATCTTCTAGAGAATTAGACCAAAATTCGTAGCAGACTGCCGAGAGAAATTTGTCTGAAAGCAAAACACAACCTCCTTCTAATGACAACCCAGTGGGGGCGAAAATCTCAAGGAAAATCCCAAGCGTAGGACCAGACCCGGTGACGGTTTCAACAGTAGCGAAAATCCCCGAAGGCACACAGCAGAGTATAAGCGACCACAGGGAGCCGGGGCATCTGATACTTGAATATCTACCAAATTCGTCCCGAGAGCGTGCAGCCCATCCAAAAATGATTAGTTGCCGACCTTACATCGGTCGGCGTAAACTCACATCACATCCAACACACTTTTGGTCGCCGAGAAGCTCCCATGCATGTACACAAATACCGAAAGCCTACTCAGCAAATTAGCTGAACTATGGCTTAGACGCACGTCAGCAGCTTGGGGCCACATCGCCATCACGGAAACATGGCTGCACAGTGAGACAACGCATGCGGAAATCGCGCTAACAGGTATGTCCGTCGTCCCGAGTAATTGATTCAGCAAAGGTGGTGGGGTAGCACTCTTTTTTCGTAGCAACCTGCAGTGTGCACCCGTACACGACTCGGAAATCGACGTACCTGACTCCATTTGGTGCAGCTTATGGTTATAAGGGAACGACTTTGGCCTAGTGGCTGTTGTTTACCGCCCACCATCGTCTACACCTGAGTTTGACTGCAACTTGATGGCCGTAATGAGGCATGTGATAAACAGGAAGAACGGTCACATTTTAATCGCCGGCGATTTTACATGCTCCAGAATCCCAGACTACACCAGGAAAGCAATTCAAAGCAGACCTGCAAGATCTTGCCTTAGACTTGCCGATTTATGGCCACGTCACTTCGCTCACCAGACGTAGGGAAAATAACAAGCAATTCATATTGGACCGGATATTCACTAATGAAGAACCGATGATTGAGAGCGTGACAATCGATTCTCCTATAGGCCGCAGTGATCATGCGACGTTGCACTTCATGTACACTTGCTATGCTGAATACCCGGAGGACAGAATTCAAATGACTCGCACCATAACCATATACGACACCTTAACCCGACTCACTGAGGCGACCGACTGGAGTTTCCTAACCGAGGATGCACCGGCCATAGCCTGGGGAACGTTTTGTCAGTAGATTTAACACCTTGGTTAGTGGAGCATCGGAAACCAAGACTACCAGTTCGAGAAACATTGCGTCAATCATAAGAAGTAGAACACTCAAATGCATGCTGATGCGCAACGCGGCGTGTCATACCCACAAAACCGATTCGAGTCCGAGTACCTGGGAGGCCTATGTTGTCCAGCGTAAGCACTCTACCCAATTAGTGCATGAGGACAAAGTAGCTCATCAATATGCCTCAGCCGACCGATTAATTTCAAATCCTAGGATTCTGTACTAGAACGTGAACAGCCTCTACAAGGTGAAAAGTGGATTTCTCTCTCTTCAAACAGCGGATGGTCTAACTCGGACTGCGTCGAACGTTCTGCAAAGACAGTATGCACCAACGTTTTATTGCATACCGTGGTCTCCTGCATCATTGAAAACTATGGTGCTTCCACAAGGACTCACTCATATAGATTTTACGGCAGACACCATGGTGAGAAAGCTGCTATCAATGCGCCTGCACGCCTGTCCAGGAATTGATGACATGCGCCAAAGGACGCTAGTTGTGGCGGTTGGCGTTTTGGCTGAACAATTGGCGTGGCTGTTCTAGAACTGTCTTGGCGATAGGCACGTTACTGCAAAGCGGAAACACGGGATAATAACTCCCATTTACAAAGGGGGTATTCGTTCCGACTCAGCTAATTATCGACCAGTGACTCCTCTGCTAGTTCTTTCAAAAGTTATGGAGCCTATCGTTGCCGACGCACGCAAGTCTTATCTGGACGGCATAAGTCACATTGCTCAGCAGCAACACGGCTTTCGCCAGAATCGGTCGTGCACAACTAACCTATTGTTAGTACAAGACAGTTGGACCGAAACGGTGGATGCTGGTGCAGGAGTTGATGTTGCATACCTTGATTTCTCTAAGGCATTCGACCGGTTGGACCATCGTAT